CTAAAGTCTATTATCTAGTAGTGCCCTCACTCGTAGCAGTGACGGCGACCGCAGGCAAGGAGTGCTCGAGCTGCGGCCCTTCGTAGATACGTAGTAGTAGCCTTCAATGCCATCACTCGAATCCAAATGTGTTTCTCTCGATTGTGTATAGATAGTCATGGATTTAGTTCTTGCTTGTGGTGTGAACTTGTGTGCTGGTAGTAGTAGTAGTACCCGTTCATTTTTTTCGCTGTTTTTTTTGTGGGATTTAAGTGAATCTACTTTTCCTTGGTTTGCCTCTACTGTGTAGCGTAGTGAATCTGCTCATCCCAGGAAGCAGCAGCCAGCGACAATCAGCACTTCAGCAGCGGCCATGTCTCAGCCAGAGAACCGAACAGACATGTTTTTGTGTCCTCTTCTCTACAGATTCAGATGCTCCTACTGCTAGCTGTCATGCAGATTCTTAAGTTCTGGTGGATCTATTCTTGTGTGGATAATATATGTATGTAAGGGTCAAAGGTTCAATTTTTCTCCGTGCAATCTGCTAGCCAATTAGTTATAGGCTGTGATATGTAATGTGCCTGCATATATGAAATTAAGAACCAATTTTGTCACTAGATTGACTAGGAGTCGGATGTAGTAGTTAGCTTGATTATGTACTTGCTGCTAGCTAGACTATCATTTTTACTAATTCTGTTTATCAAATAGTTGTGCTGCAGATTGCTACCTCTGTTTATCAAATAGTTATGCTGCAGTTTTGCTACCTCTGTTTATCAAATAGTTATGCTGCAGTTATGCTAGCTATAGGTCTTGCAGTAATGGATACATGTTTAATGTTTATGTCTGAAATGATATGTCATCTTGTTTATTATGTATTTTTAGTTCCAATTTGCGATGGCTGCGTCTGATACTCTGTTTTAATTTTATCTATTCTAGGCTAAGGTTGATTTTCTTCGAAATCTTCGCCTTCCCAATTTGGTCATGCCTGAGTGTAAGTGACAAGAAGACAAGGTACCCACCTAGCTAACTGCTGTGACTGAAAGTGTCTCTTCATTTTTCCTCAATTATTCCATTCTTGCTTGTTCATTAAATTGGGGACTGAAAATGCAGAAAAAATACTGTCAAAGACAAGCCCATTTTGAGATTTCAGCACCTCCTATTGGTTATCAAGAGTTTGTGCTGGCTCACCGCTTCTAAATAGCCGCTGATTTTGTTGGATTTGTAGTTTGATTAAAAACATATGTGACAAGCAGTGAAATTCATCACACCATAATGATATAGTCACTTGAGTCACAGATGCTTAATCTGCCTGTGGCCTGACATTCATCATATGTCATGTATGCAAATTCTAAAAAAACTATAGCACCACATGAGTTGATTTTTATGATCTTACCACCAGCAATGGCGTATGGGTTAAACAATTTTGTCCATTTGATCAGTTGCTACTTCAGAGTTTCAGACCTTGTGATGTATTCTTAATATCTTTTACATTACAGTTTCCTTTTATTTTGAGCTTTACCACTTAAACTTGATGCCTCTATGGTTTCACATATTTAGAGAGGGATGGAGCCTGGCATGAGAGGAGGTAGCTTTGAGACAGACCAATAGCAAATGCTTCAGAGTTTCAGGCCATGTGATGTGTTCTGAAAAAAATTTACATTACAGTTTCCTTTAATTTTGTGCTTTGCCACTAAAATTTGATGCCTCTGTGGTTTCCCATATTTACAGAGGGATGGGAGCCACGGAATAAGAGAAGATGGCTTTGAGACAGAGGAAGAGCATCGCGTCCATCTGAGGAGAATAGGAGCGGCAGAACTGAAGTGGAATAGGAGGGATGCACTACCTGATTCTGTACTGCCCAGGGGTGGTATTAGCCTGAACTTGAAATACAGGTTAGTGTTATCACAGTTTTTTGGAAACCTCACTAAATCCATTCTTTTTTGATCTCGGTTTGTGCAGTCTCACAAACCTGATAAACTTCACAACCTTGCTAAATGAGGTTCTTTCAAACCGTATAATTCATAGTTCTTAATCTGCTGAAATAAATTCTTGCCTTGTCTTGGGGACCTTTCTCAGCAGTTATGTCTCTATCGATGAGTGCATCGTCACTGTCTGAGGACATAGGAGGTCAGTTCATGGAACCATCATAATAAGAATGTCCTATTCTAATTTCCATGTTTTATTTTGTGAGCCATGCACAGATGGGAAACACTTTCCATCGGAGGATTCTCAACAAGCAGCGCTGCATCACTACTTAATTACAAGGTCATTTCTTGTTAGTTAGTTTATCCTACTGTGCAACATGCTAAATCAAAAAATAGGTGTCATGGTTCCAATCTATCAAATTGGGCATATACATCACTCCTTCTCATTTGGGTACATGAGAAATCATGCTAGATAAACAATCGTAGTTGCTTTTCTCCTTGCTAGGCATGAATTTGGGAACAACCGTAGTTCTTTTGGCTATTAAGAGTTGTTTGCAGTAGATTACTATAGCTTTTGTTCTCTGCTTTCAGTACAACCACATACTGCTGTAGACCAATTGCCCTCTTTTATTTTGCTACATAATATATATGTTTCGATAGGGTAATAAAATGGGAAGGGGATGCGGCCGTTTGTGTAGGGTAGGGCTATGTGGATGATGCCCCGCACCTGCATGCCGCAACAATAATTTCGTCACAGTCTGTCATTAGACTACCTTCCCTCCTTTTGCTGCAGCCATTTTTAGGTAGCCAATTGACTAAAATTGGTACGGAAATAAAGTCCGCTCATGTTAACCACGTATTAGCAGGTTGTCTTGGCTGCAATGAAATATGGAATTAGCTTATGTAGTGTTTTTGCAGTATATCAATTAGCACAAACGCGTTGTATTTTTTTTTGATAATATATTGCTGCCTCTTGTTTCAGCTTCATATGTGTTCAGAATTTCTTTGCTGATAATTGTGGTGTTCCCATCGTTGTCGCTTATCTTATTATAAAAGAACATGAATTTCTTGTCGGTCTGAACTTCTTTTGTGTTCATATGTGGACCATGTGCTGCATAGGTAAGTTCTATCTCTCATTCTCTGCGGTAGGGGTTTCTATTTGAAGGACGCCTGGCAGAGTAGAGTGGCAGCGCGCCGCGGAGAAAGCCCCATCCTAGCCATAAACCATTGTTTATAGAATAATATATAGACGGATGGTTTATGAACTTTAAGACCCGACTTAGTAGTGCTGTGTGGGCTTGTCTATTTTTTCTGTGTGTGAAATGACTAATCTCTGCGAGACTGTGAATTCGTGTTTCTTTCATTAGTTGACTTATTTTTTGTTTTATGATTTATTTTAGTTTTATGATTTATTCTTTGTAGACGCCACCGTAGCGTTAGCACGGGCAATATACTATTGTAGAAAAGTTGAACTATGAAAAAAGTTCATTGTTAGGTTGTTTCATGTGCATCTCCAAGATAAAGCCGTGGCATTAGTACGGGCATTATACTAGTGATGAGATAGGAAAATGAAGGGAGCTACAACTACAACTTTTTTTTTAGAAATAGCTACAACTTTTTTTTTTGAGAAACAATCCGCCGTCTTCATTATTCGTCAGAAATTATATTACAAACTCATCAGGGGGAGAGAGGAACCAAACATGTCTACCAGAGGATAAGCTAACCAAACTCATAGCTAACAAATGAGCTTCATGATTGAAATGTCTTCCTTCATGAGCAAACTCCACATTGCTAAAACTTTCTCTTCTTGAAGCCCAGGTGCCCGTCCAGCACGGCATCGGCGCCGAATTCGGCGCGCCAGGCGGCGCAGCGGAGCAGCATGGCGTGCGTGTCGGACGCGGAAGTCCCGTGCGCGGAGGAACTTGAGGAGCACCACGTCGGCCCGCTCGTCGACTGGACTGGAGTGGGGGTTCAGTGGGACACCCCAGATGGAAATGGGGTCTGGGTGGGTGGCGAGCAGCACCTTGAGGTCGGCGAGCGCACTGAGCTCAGACGACGGGAGCGCGGCGGCGACGTACGAGTCCTCCTTGAAGGAGGGGGAGCGGAGCAGCGTGGTGGCGTCCATGAGCGAGGACATGAGGCTGTGCTTGGAGGCCGGGGCTAGCTGCCACGGGGCTGAGAGCTGCGGCATCATCATCAACCCCCCCCCCCCAACGTTTTGTGGCAGAACAAATGTAATCGGTGCCTCCAAGTTCTGAAATAAAATTCAGGTGGGGGACAATCCCCCCATGACATTTCAAAAAAAAAATTCTCTTCTTGACTTGGGGTTTGATTGGTTGGCTTCCAATTCTTGTCCAACTAAAACTATGGTATGCCAAAATTTTTAGTCATCAGTTGGTTCGTTGCCAAAGAATTAACACACCAATGTTTATGATCAAAGTTTGGACAAGTCTCTAGAAAGTTCTTAAACTGCATAAAAGAGAAAAATATGCTTCTTATTATTGTTATGGCAGTCAACCAAATGCACACCAATATTTTTTCCCTCTAACTTTGGCGACCTTGATTTTAGCAAGCCTAAGTTTTAGCTTACCATGATTTTAGTAGAGCAAAATTTATTAGCCAACCAATCAAGCCCTTGATCTCCAGGATGATTGTTCCAAATCTCCCAAAACCATCACACAACGTTTGCGTAGTCAGTTGTCAATCTCATGGACTGCAATTTTTTTTTTTGAGGGGAACAGCTACAACAACTACAATGGCCCCCGTTTGCGTGTCTTTAAACCCGGCTTGATCCGCTTCTTTTTTCGTCCGGAACAGTATTTTCCTCTCACAAATTTTTCCAGAATTTCTCAACCCATCTAAATTCGTACCATCCGAACCGGGCCAATGATGGTCCCTCCGCACTCCCCAGCCTGCCAGTGCCCGTGCCTCTACCATTTCCGTTGATGGCCCGACCCGGCCCATTTTCAGTTCAATTCAATTCAACCAGCCCAGGCCCACCACAAACAAAAATTCCTCCTCATTCCCGTGCCATCCATCTTCGGCGACAGCGAGCGTTTTTCATTTCGAAATAAAACCAAATAAAAAAACGGGACGATGCCGCCGGCGATGGCGGAGCAGGATGGAAATGCCACGACGCCCTCCGCGCTCGCCCTCTTCGCCTCCCGCCTCTCCTATCACAGGTACTACGCCGCGGCCGCGCGCCTACCCCAACCCACCTGCCGCAACCAACCGCGCGACCTCTGCGACCTTTTCGCTCACCTTACGACCTCCCTCCCGCCGCCCCTGACTGGGTGCGAGTGCGCTGCAGGTTCGGGGACGAGGACCTCCGGGTGCTGGAGGCCGCGCTGTCCGCCGGCGCTGACGTACCCGCGCTGCTCGCCACGCGCTCGGCGGCCCGGAGTCTGCTTCAAGCAAGCGCGGCGGAGGCATTCGCGTTCACCGCGACGGGTTCAGTGATGGATGGTGGGACCAGCCTCGCCGTCGCCGACTTCTTTTCACGCGCCTTCGCGCTCGTAGGCGATGTCGAGGTCAGCACCAGCCAAATTAGTTGTTGGCGCATACGGTGTGCAGATTATTATGCACTGCTATCGCTAGTCCGTGCGCATTACCTGGGGTTTTACTCTGATTTTAGGCCCCCGCGGTTGTCGTGCTTCAGTTCAGTATACGTTCCTAATTGCAGGCTTGCAGCATTTTATTTTAGATGTTTGCAGCATGTTTCATACACACTAGCAAGCAACACTCAAATTCATCAACCAACGTGCGTTAGTCATTTGTTTTACTCGGACTTGAATGTTTGCAGAAACCCAGAGCATGCGCTGCGTTTTTCTCTGCTAATACTGTTACTCCTCATGTACACTGACAGAGCTGCCTTGCCATGAGATACGAGGCCCTGTTGCTTCGAGACGCTAAATACTGCAACGATCTTCACTTGCAAGTGTCCCGTCAGGAGTGGTTAGCTTTCGCAAAGGACTCTCTTGATAATGGCTTCTACACCATTGCCTCCAAGGTAGTTTTATTGAGCTGCAACCTTTGTTGTAGGAAATGGCCCTTTACTGTTCTTTTTTATTGGAATGTTCGCACTAAGCTATTAGGTTCAATGGTGTGAAGAGCACAATCCGATAGTTCTGGAAGTTTGAAGCAGGCTTACTGTAGTTTGTTTAACCTGAAGATCTAACAAATGTATCGAAGCCTTCCTCTCTTACCTGCTTGCCTGCTTTACATTATTATCTCTCTTTGATTACTAGTTTTAGGCAATTCCATGTGCTCGAGAGTTTAATGCTCCTGTGTAAGTTTTTTATGCCACTCTGATAATCAAACTGCTGGTATGATATAATTAATACTAAGGGGAAAACTAAGTTTCAATCATTTCAGAAATAATTGTTGAAATAACTCTATCAGTCCTTTCGGAAAAAAAACTCTATCAGTAAATACTACTTCAAATTCATATTTTCTTTAATGGGTGAAGGATTTTTGTCATTCAAATGGACAAGTACCGTTTTTTTGCTCTGTCTGAGGTAAGCAATGAAGGTTGCTTGATGACTGTACTGTATATTGCTACTAATGCACTAATGTTTATGGTTGTACATCTGAGCACAAATTAATAGAGTACTGTGGAGAATGACATTGGCTTACATTTTATTGTAACTAATTCAGGCTTTTGCAAATGCTCTTGGGCACATTCATCCAAGCCACCCAGGGCGCTAGGAGAAGGACAAGATCAATGATATAACAGGACTCCAGAACTTGCCCAAGTCATTATCTGCACAGCATTCTGGTGAGTTTTCAATGCCATGGATTGCTTAAATTACATGCAGAGAAACTGATCTTGCCTTAACTTTTCAAGTAAAATAAGTGCAGAGAAACTAAATTTGCCTTCATCTTCTTAAGTTGAGGAAATGAAAGAGTGATACATGTTTAATCAACAGAGGTCCAATCTGACTGAATGTATGTCTTCCTTTATGATTGAGTAACTAATGTTTTTTTTGTTGTCTCAAACATGCCATCTATTATCTGGGAGATTTGGGGACCTATTGTGACACCAAATCTTCTCTTGTATCTTCCTACTGTTTGAGCATATTTTCGATATAGCTTTCTGATGCTATTTACTTCTGCTGTGACAGTTCAGACACAGTCTGCTGAATACATGAAAAGGAGAGCTTCAGGTGTTCACGAGAAGTATAATTTGCAATCAGGAAAACCAAAGTTAACAGGAAATTCAATGTTTAGGCTAGGGATTAAAACAAGGAACATAAAGAAATTGCTTCGTAGCCAGGAAAGGAACTTGGGAGATTTGAAGCAATATTAGCGTGGCATCTTCCGCAAGACCGAGAGGAATGTTGTAAAAAGGTGGGTTTTATGCCTTAATTTACTTATTTCTTTCTAAGTTACCACCAGTGCATATGCACTTTCAATCTCTTAAATGCCTAGTTCAACTTCTAGAGTACCAGCTGAAATTAATATCTGCAGTGTCAATTACATTCATCTGATTATTGAAATTGGGTATGTGGGAGTGGCATTGGCAGCATGTGCATGCCAGCCGTCCTCATTTTCTTAAGTAGTCCACAACATCTGTCCATGAGTTCTCCAAAACAGAACCACGGTATTTTTCAGCTTAGTTTTTTGTAGCATTGGACACCTGAAATAAATAAGAAAACTGTGACTAGATCATCATGTCTTGTTTCAGCTCAAAAAGTTTAATTATAAGTCAGTTGCATGGAAATAAGATGCTTACAGGGAATCATGTCATTTGTCATTGGCATATTTACTATAAAAGGTTTGCTGATTACATTATTACAATCCTTAACCACATATTGCAGCCTGGTTGCCTACTCTGCTCAATCTGATCGCAGGAAGTAATGCTAGCTATGCACAGTTGTGCTTACTATATTTGGAAAACGTTAATTTGCTTTATTTACATGCAGTCCAATTAGGTGACATTTTTTTTGAAGTGGAGACATGAAGTGGAGTTATGGATGAGTCTTTATTCAACACTAAGACAAAGACGTCGAAGTGGACTTGCATCCTTTGGTAGCATACTCACTCTGCAAGTAAGTTGCTATCTTCGGTATCTGCAGACTGTTTTTCATGTGCAGAACAATAATAAATAGTAACTCCGCCTGTCCGCCATGATTTACATATTGCCTTATAATATGAACTGGAATCTGTTGCTGGCTGTTGAGTTGAGTGTTGGAGAACAATACATGTGAAGCACTGTCTTTTGAGACTATTGCTTGGAAATGCCCCACCATACTGTCCTTCTTAAAAAAAGAAAAAAAAGGGAGCAGGGTTTATGTTTTTCCTTTGGAAATGCGCTATTAGGTACAAATGCACAATAGAAAAAAATTGTCATAACACAATGCATTCGCCACGTTTCTGTTAAGCAAGCATTTGGAGATTTTGTTCTTGATATGTGCTCTTGGAAATACTTGCAAATCTAGAAGGTAAGAATGGGCTTTATACTTTTGAACGTCAGTTACTTAACATGTGGCAGTGGAATATTCTGATTATGATCCCAGAGCACATGCTACGTGAAATGACAAGAACCTAAATTTGTTACTTGCCCAGGTCCATCCTGGTAGAGTTAATCCTGGGCCCTCCATCGAGTCTGAAGTGCTCAGATGGGGAACACGTTGTCGTGTTTCAGGAAAAAAAGACGTCTGCTGCTTATTCCAGCAAGGGAACTTGGGATGCTAAGTAAAAGGGTTACGTGGAGTACAAGAGGTTAGATATGGGTCGTCATGTGCCATGTGGGTGAGCACTCAGTGGTGGATTGAATTTGACTTCGAAAATTCTGAAGACTTTTACATAGGCTGTGAAACTAACACTGTCGGCAGAGCTTAATAATGTAGTGGTAGGGGCCTGGGCAGCCGCGGTTGTACTTGACTGGCATGCCATCCATCCATATTAGGGACCAATCAAACCTCGGGAAGGCTTGCTTTTGATAGCAATCGCATGTGCACACACGCATGGCAGCAAACTTTTTTAGAAGTCCTGCCTCCTCCTGGTCTGGACTCTGGAGGTTACTCATGTAGTAGGCCTTTGCATCTCAGGGATCCATGCGCTCAGTGAGAAAATCAGAAAGCCGATCCTCTGTAAGAGACAGGGAGACAATTAGGACGTCTTATCTGAAGATCAGTCATCGATCATGCTTGCATTCGCAACCAAACACGGGCGTAGAGATTTTGTTCTGTTTCGTTTGATTTTCCATTTTCATACTAGCAGGAAATTAATTAAGATTAACGCACGAGTAGAGACGTCATGGTAGCGGATATATGCGTGCATGCATGGTTTTGTGATAGTAGTTGCTGCAACATGAATTTTGTTCTGTCATGCAGAGTGGAAACCAAGTGTGGGTAAAATATAGTGAGTCGTTGTGGAGTCCGCATCCGACTGCAGGTGCGCTCCAGACCACGGTATACATGTGTCACCCTCTAACCTGTACACATGTCACAACTGGTGGAGCATCCGATGTAGGTATATAGCATACTTGTCTGTTGTCTCCTGCTACAACCTAGTCCTCGTCAAGACACGAATGCTTGTAGCTGTTATATGGGAGTACAACATACTCTGATTCCCCACTGTTGTAATGCACGACAAATCCCTAATCTTGCTGTTGTCATGTGGCCTCTTGCATTCATGCATCAGTAGCCACTCCTGACCTACTGCTTACATACGTGTCACTGTGTCAGCTTTCTCTTTCATCTTTGCTACGCTAATGCTCTGTCGTTTTCTCTTGCTTGTAATGTAATGATTAATTGATTAGTGATTCTTTAAATTATTATGTGGATTGGATTGAACCAACCATGATGTGGCCGTGTCCAATACTAAAAATGATACGAAATGGGAAGCAGTGATCCATAGGGAGAGAGCTGACCCACGTGAATGCCAATAAAACAATACAGAGGCATCCTTGTTGAATTGAACCCCGCCAATTCCCTGCCCTGTTTTAATTTCATCCCAGTCCTAGGAGTAGATGAATAATTCTACTACCTAGCTAGTGCATGCATCGTTTGATTTATAAGCTGTAACCGCTAATATACATGCATTGCTAGTTTGCTACAAAACCACTAGCATTAAGATCGAATCAATTAGTACTTAAGGGTCAACTATTGCTAGACGGCTTTGGTTCTTCTGTACGTAAGGGTGTTGTAGCTGGCTGTACTCTTTCTTCCCTAATGTAATTAAGGTCAACAGACCGAACGTGCATGTGGCGCTAATTTCCACCATCACCCATAGTCAAATAATCCTGCTCTCTAGAGCTTGCTAGGTGTCGTCAGTATGCTAGTACACACAGCAGTGGTATATGTTTGCTCAGCAGCCGGCCACGTACTGCCCTTGGTCAGTTGCAATAATAGTCAACTCATTTCTCAAGATATTTACCTAGTCCTAATGCATGTGAGCCATTAACATGGAACATGGTTTACTTTTGTCATCACTGACAATAAACAATGCTGTCTTGGTCTGGCAGATTTTGAGGTCTCAAGTGATGCTTACATGCATTTCCACATTTTTGTCTGGCTTTGGCCAACCAGGGGTGTCTATTGCCGACTGCAACAAGTGAAAACAGAGTTAGAATTTCCATGCCACAACTGTACTGATTGGGAGACGTATAGAATAGTCCATGAACCGTTTCGCTTTCTTTCTCGTTTCTAGTAATTAATTATAAGGAGATAAAGACTTTCTCAGCTGTATCTGCTGCGACCAGCAAACCTTGTTGATCGTGGCTGCTAAATACAGACAAAGAAAAACCGTAGAACCATACACACTGTACTGGTACAGCACTACGCAGCCATAACATGCTTGTTGTGCCTGTGATCCAGCTGGAAGCTAAGGAAGGTCATTAGCTGATAGATCATCGTGACAATAGAACAACACAAATATATATTCTATCATCTTTGTCCTGACCTGATACTATGCTATTTAATGCAAACTATTTGATCTCTCCCATCTTTTTTTTTTTGAACGCAATGGCAGAAGCTCTGCCTTTCAATTAAGATGGGGAAAAGAAAGTTTATGTACAAATAGAGGCACTCGAGATTAGGGTTTCAAAACCCCCACAAGCATACAAAGTAGGGAAATCGGCCCAAAAGGGGTGGGGGCAACAGCTACACATAAGTGAGTGCTCTCTTCCTTTGCTCTATGTCTTTCTTTATCCTTGCGGCCACTTGCGGCGCCGTTTCTATGCTGTTGTCGAAGATTCTCCTATTTCTCTCTTTCCAAATATTCCAAAAGATGTAGATTACTACCCCGTTAAGCCGTCTATGCTCGGATCTTGGCACTTTCCTCGCCACCTCTTCCCACCATGACCTGATATCGGTGGGGTCCATCTGGGGTTGCTGTTGAAGCTGAGTGAAATTTTCCCACGAGAGGATTTGATCCCAAACCGCTTTTGCGAAGGGGCAACATAGGCATAGGTGGAGGCCGGTCTCTAAGGGACCATTGCAGAGCACGCATTGTTGTTGGTGTGGCCACCCTCTCCTCTGTAGGTTTTGCGCCGTTAGAATTTTATCTTGCACTAAGATCCAGGCGAAGATCTTACATCTGTTCTCCACTAGCGCTTTCCAGATCAAGTCCGTACGGAAAGGGACGAGCGAGCCTTTGAATTGTATTCTGTAGGCCGAACGGGTGGAGTAGTTCCCATCATTGGTCCACCGCCAGATGATGGTGTCCTGGACGCCCTGTTGTAGGTGCACATCTTGTATCCG